GAGCCCATCCCATTGCAAATGCCCTTCATTCACCACTGTTGTTATTTCTAAACGGTCGCTCAATGAGTGGATGTTAAGTGGGACCACTGTGGTCTCCTTTGGCATCTCTCCAGTACCCTCAGCTTTTGAGTACAGCCCAATAGTCTGAGTTTCTGCCCTCAAAGAGCTTTAGAATTCTTTCTAGAATTCTTTATTGGCCAAGTGTGATTGGATACACAAGGGATTTGTCTTGGGTGCAGATGCTCTCAATGTACATAAAAAGAGAAGATACTTTCATCAAGAATCATCAGATGCAACACTTAGTGAGAGTCCTAGGGTACAAATAAGCAATCAGGAAATAATCAATATCAATATAAATCATAAGGAAACAAGCAACAAAGCTACAGTCCTGCAGTCATAAGTGGAAGGAGGTGGATGATAGGAACGATGAGAAGGATAATAGTAACAGAAATGCAGCCTTAGTGAATGGTTTGACCGTGGTGAGGGAATTATTTGTTTAGGAGAATGCCACACCTAAAAATTTGGAGGGTCCTTGTATGCCTGATGGTTGAAGATTGTGTTTGATGACTGTTTTCAACCCTTTTTGCCCAGTGGCTGATAGAGGGCAACGCCATCCTTTTCTTTTCAGGTATTATCAGAGGAGGCAGCAACAATCTCCAGAATTAGCCAAGTTGGATCTGAGGCTGGGTGGAGGATGATGTATGTGGAGACCAAACAGGAGAACGATGACGCCTGTACTGATCTCTTAGGTAAGGAGACCTCCTCTGTTTTCCTTACAATCAAGTGGACAATCTTTGGGGAATTTTGCAGAGTTTCACTTTGAGGAGCCCAAGCCCTCAAAGTTGACAGGACTGGGGCTCCTATTATCCCCAGCCAGCATGGGTAGTCCTGCTAAGGGGGAATTGCGACGCAACACTTCTAGAAAAGATCAGGGTGGGAGAAATTTGGTTTAAATTAACTGCTGTTTCGGCAATGTTTTCCAGATTAGTTTTGTTACGTCGCTGTTAAAATTGCCCAAGGTTTATTTTTCTTTGTAAACAAAACACTGGGCTGTGGGTCTGCGCTCCGAGCTTGGCAGTTTGGTTGCAAACGTTTTGTCACCATTCGAGGAGACATCGTCAGTGGGCTTTGAAGTGTGCTCGTCTGTCAGAGCACTGGTCTTTAAAATATCTTTTTATTTGATGCCTATTAGTGCGGATGTTGTTTGTTTGGCTACACCTGATTTTGGACTATTGGATTGGCTTTTCTGTTGTTACCGAGACGCTGTCTTTGGTTCTAAGTACTGTCTGTGTGATGTAAATTAGTGTTGTTTGTTCGGATACTGCTGAGTCAAGGTCTGGTTTTGGTCTGATTGAATAGCAGGTGGGTGTTACTGAGAGAGGGTCCGATTTCTTGCAAACTGATGGGTTGTGATTTATTTATTTATTTGTTGTTGTTGCGTAGTGGGGTGCCTGTTGTTTGTTTCAAATGCTATTTTTGGGATGTTATGTAAGCTCCCCGTTGAGAGAGCGAGTACATTCAGCGTTGGGAGAGTGTTGTTGGAGAACACACAAACCAGCATACAGAGACACTGCAGTTTAAGTAGGCTTTTACTTTCGTGGCCATAGAGGTATCAGAGTCCATCAAACAATCCAAATCATACACGGATAAGACAGACAATCATCAATGTCTTTCAGTTAAGGGGTAATCCAAATAACATAGTCCAGTGTCATATAATCAGNCCTGTCCACCAATAAACCATCTTTCCAAGCAGCCTCCATGTCTCCAGTGTCTGTTTCCCCACTTGGAGCCGAACCCAGAAGGACATTTCTTCCAACATAGGGTTCCCTGCCTGAGCAGGGGGTTGGACTAGAAGACCTCCAAGGTCCCTTCCAACTCTGTTTATTCTATGAGCTAATCAGGAGCGCTGCAAAGCGTTCAAGGGTCCCTGGGGAGAGCACAAAGGCATATTTTTCCTTAGGAGCAAGGAGCACAAAGGGGTCCCCCAAAATCCCCCCCCCCCCCAAAAAAAGCAAAAGGAAAGAGAGGATCAGAAAGATCCAGCCAGCTGAGGGCTAGACGGGACGCGTCTCCCCTTTTTGGCTTAAAAAAAAAAGATTGCAAAAGGATGTGAACGTTGCAGTCTTCTTCCTAGACTGGCTCCTCCCCCGGAAATGGGCTTTTTTGGGGGAGGGGGGAAGCTTGGGAGGTAGGGAGGCACATCTGCCTCCCAGCAGGGTTTCTCCATTATTATTATTATTTTAATTTAAATCGCAATTGCAAACAGCCGGAAGCAAGAAAGAAATCTGAAACAACGCGCGAGAGCAAAACATCAAGGTTTACAGCACGCTCAGATGCCTTTGTGGTGCAAGGACGGGGGGGAAATTGGAAAAAAAGGAGACAAGGTAAACATTGTGATTGTTCATGCTATCACATTGTTACTCCATGCGCATTGTTTGTAGATTATAATACAGTGTCTATATTGCACGTGGAAAAAAAATGCCATACCATAATGTTATACATTAATTATACCCATTACACAGGTCTGCTACTAAAAAACCGTTTGATTATTTTCATCTAATTTCCATGTATTTTGGTGTGCTGAAAACAAATAAAATATTGAAAAACCTCCTAGACGTCATGATGCAAAATTGTCTTCAAATTTATCATTTTTTTAAAAAAATTCTAAAACAGTAAAAGTGGAATCACAGTCAAAGATAAAATTACAGTTCAATTTATATAGTAGTAAATTATATATAAATTATATATATTGTGCCACAACCCCTGGTATGCCCAAATATGGGAGGAAGCATACTGCTTCCTTTCTTTGTCTATCAGCTCATCACAAGAGACCATGCAGACAGAAAGCCATTATTTTTACTGTTGCATTATTTTTGTTACATTTGTGTTGCATTTGTGCTGATAAATAAATAAAGGGAGACTAGTATAGAT